TTATCTATATTGCACAGAGAGGCCTTATTACTTTTACAAAACTTTTACAAAACTTTTACAAAACTTCTACAAAACTTCAGCACTGCAGGTTTATTGTATTGCAAGGTGCCTACATCCACGTAACTGTTATAGTTTAACCACATTTCCAGAAAATCAGCAGGGAAAAAAAAGCAGTTTAATAGTAGTTTCCATCCACTGCAGCTCATGGAGATAAACAGCCAGTACTACCAATTCTCCAGTCTCACCGCTTAACGAGATTCTTATGTTGTAATTATGGGAAAAGGTTACGGTGGGTATCAATCATCACTGTAGATGATGGAGGAAGTCCGGTACTTTCGAGTTAATAAGCTTTATTTCCTCCTCGGAGGCAAAGGAAGATATTCATTTTAGTGAGAAGTGTAAATTTTCCATTCAGTATTTAGGATAATGTTAAATTAAACACTGTGTGAATAGACGAATGCAGCAGATTCAGTTGTATTGCTAATTTTAAATCTGTTAATTGTTAATATAGCAAAATATGAACGTCATTATTAATTGTATTATTATTTTGTTATAATTTATTCAAATGTAATGCTGCGTTTGAGAGCTGCTTTCTACCTGGTCATTAGCAGCGGGGCGGCACCCCGGAGCCCCGTATGGACCAGCCGGTGCACAGATATGTCCATATCGATTTATCTAGTCGGCAGCAGCCACGTCCTATAAAGAAAACCCTCCCTACTGGTATTTCCTGGCTGTCAGTACTTTTCCTTTGTTAGCTGCTGCTGACGACTTAAAGGGAGGATGTTATGATTATCAGTGCAAAACAGCCTCAGCAAAGCAGAGGTACGCTATGGACCAGGACGGTTATTTATGTAAAACTTCTTTATCAGAGCAGAAGCACGCTATGTTTCCGGTATCAGAGTGTGGTGTGTGAGCGGCTGCATTCCTTCTATAGGACCTTCATGTGTTCAGTCCTTCAGGGCCTGAGACTGATGCTTGAATCTTTCTTTCACTTTCTTCAGATCAGCACAACTAATGCATTAATGCACATTAAATGGTGTCAATGCTAAGCTAGCAGTGCCTTTACATATAAATATTTCAACATTTAGACTAACAAAATAGCAAACATAACTTGTTAGGCTCATATTATCTTGCTTAGGCTAATATAGGGGCTAATACTATCTTGTTTAGGCTAATATTATCTAGCTTAAGCTAATGGAGGAGCTAATAGTATCTTGTTTAGGCTCATATTATCTTGCTTAGGCTAATAGAGGAGCTAATAATATCTTGTTTAATCCAATATTATGATTCTTAAGCTAATATGGGGCTAATATTGTCTTGTTTAGGCTAATGTAAGGACAGCTGTTATCTTATTTAGGCTAACATATTGGCTAGCTAATGTTATCTTGTTTAGAGATATTGCTATTGCTAACTGCTAATTGCTAAAGCTAAAACATTGGACACTTAAATCTAAACTATGCATATATATATATTCTTTTTATTTTTATTTTAATTATAATATGTGATATTACTTATTACCTCAGTATAATTGCCAGCATTACTTTTAACTGTTTTATTCTAGCTTCATTTATTTAAGTAATTTCAGTTATCTTATGGCTTTATACTTTATTGACATCACATTTCCGATGTGTCATTTATTTTTGCTGCAATGTCTGACACAAGAATTTTCTTTCGGGATTGATGAGGATTTATTTCGTTTAATATTTCAGTCGAGAGACGCCAGCTGGAGGAGACGTTCATCTTTATTGATGGTGAAATCCTTCACAAAAAAAGACCCCAGCACATTAAAGACAAAAGAGATCCATATTGCAGCACATCGAGTGTTTGTGTTGCAAACTTTCAGTCGGAGATGTGAGAATGTGACTGGTGCTGATGGCAGATTAGCTCTCGGTGGCCACAGTTTGATGGATGTGTTTACCGAATCACCGGTGCATCGACCCCCCGAAACCCTCCACAGCCAATCCGACGGCGTCTCCTCAGCACCGACACACAAGAGACAACACGGAGCAGCGCAAGTCTGTGGCAGGAAATGTGAGGAAACCGTCCTTCTGATGCTGCAAATAGACAATTTTGCCCCAAAATTGTGGGATGGACAATGTTTCTTGTTGTTTTCTTTTTTATTATTTGAAGTGTTTTTGTTGCTTCAGTCGGACATGTTGACACCTGTACGCAGGAGCAGAGCAGCTGGAGGACAAATTGTGCACAGCTGGGGGTTTGTCAGACCTCAGAAAGGACATTATGTCAACAACAGTGAGTGCAGGGTCGCAGTCATTGTCCTATTGATTGGTTTACCAACATCACAAAGGCAGGGGAATGTACAGGGAGTAGCTTCTGTGTCGTTTCTGAAGTGATGTGCTTTAGTTTCTGTCTATTTCTGTCTGAAACTGAACGTACTGGGTTCTATATTAAGATCTACTGTCTGGGACGATCCAGGTCTTGGTCTAAAGAGCAAAAACACCAAAGGCAACTGAACTAACTTTCTCGAAGACGTTTCACCTCAATCCAAAAATGTCCTCAGTTCTAGCTGACTGGTGGGAGGTCCCTGGTTTTTAAGCTTGTTGACAGCTTGACATGTGAACCTGACAATGCTAATGGATCACAGCAGGCGTGTTTTCAGAAAACTGCCGTGCAAATGTGAAGCAAACTTTGAAATGTCACGGAAAAAAATGGAAAAAAGAAAGTGAGAATTAAGCTTGTCTCCCCTGACTATTTCACTATTTCTTTTTCTGGATTTGTACATATATAACATATACTTTGCACCATGTACTATTGTTGTATATCTTAAAAGCCCCATAAGACCACGTCCATCTAACGAATGCACGTCTTGTAGCTCTGTTTTTGGTCGCTACATTGGCTTCTTGAGGGAAATATCTGGCGTTTTAGCTGCTAAATGCTCCACTAAACTCTCCTGCTTGTTTCTGATGGAGTCTGTCAGTTGTTTGCTGCTGAACATGTGTTGTACAGCTTCATCTCCTCAAACTGCGCTGGAGTGAATAAATTAAGCCGAGGAGTGTTGCCAGAAGATGGCGCTGTAGGCCACATGGCTGTAATAATCAGAGCAGAAGAAGAAGGAAAAACAAAACTTTGCATATCGATACACTCTTAAAATAATGGCCCAAAGTCTTTTTTTTTTTCAGGTTTTTCAGGAAAAAAAAATCTTGAATACATAATATTTATTCATAATTTTACTCAAAAATGTGATGACAGTAGATATCCACTGACACATTTAAAGAATGTCTGTCATTTATGTAACAGAAGAGGAGTAAAGTCAAGGGCATCTTCCACCCAAAAGGAAAAACATTTCAACCCTTTGAGGTGCAAATGTGGGATTATTTTGAAAAACCTTCATGGCCTTGTGGTCACTTCTATAAAGCTACATCAGGGATTCCTAAAGTGCAATACGGGATTAAAACCTTTCTGAATGAGATTATGTAATGTGAGAAAAAAAAAAATTAGACCAAAACTTCCGATGTAATAATGTTTGAAGAGACAGAAACAGAAAGCCTCACATTCTGGAGCCAAGTCCATGAAAGCCAGCATTTAGCATTTTTGCTGACTCAAAAGACTAAATAACAGCAATTCAGACAGGACACTTTGTCAGAGTTTAACCATTTGTTTGAGATCACATACATTCAGTTTGACGGTGACTCTGCTCGTGATGCTCTGGAACAATCTGAGCAAGCAGATAATCCCTGAGATCACAAACCCACCGCAGAGCCATGAATTTACAATTTTTCAAATACGGTATGAACACAAGACCAACTAAATAGTCTTCACTTCTAGATTACATAGTTCAAGGTACAATAATGAACCATCTGCAACCTACAGTCCCACGATATGGGAAACACCGGGGTTATATGATTGAACTGTTTTTAAAAGGTGGTGGTTGGGGAGGAGGAGGAGGTTTGTCGATGTGCAGACGGCTGGAGCAGCAGCGATGTGGTGAAGCGGGCAGAATGAATGAACGCTGCCTCGGTTCCAAAGCAGCTCAGTGGGTTGGGCTGGACTTCAGCGATGACGATTGGACAGGAGGGGCCATGTGACACCCTGAGTCTGTGCCTGTCTGAACTAACGCGAAGCTCTATTATTTAGATCCTAGTCTGCACTATAGTAAACCTGGTCACCAATGAGGGGACGAGCCCTGAATCATGGAGGTCATTTCAGTGGCTTCTCCTTGAAGCGGCCGCCATCTTGACCAGCTTGTACAGTCACACTGTCTTTTGACTGAGGCAAAATAAAACGGCCTGAGTTACACTCTTGACATAGGCCATCGTGTTAGGAAGGTGGCGATATGTACTTCTTGTTGTCAAGGTGTGTTTAAAAGCCATATAAGACCGTTTCCATCTGATGAATGCATGTTTTCTGTCTTCTAGCTCTCTACACTGGTTTCTTGCTCCGCTACACTCTCCAGCCTGTTCCTCTGTGTTGTACTTTGCAGCTTTTTCTCCAGAATCATGAATGAAATAAAGCTACGAGAGCAACAGAAGCATCAAAAACAAGCAGTACAATCAGCTGCTGCAGGACTAACATGTTGAACCACTCGTGCAGACATGCACCTGTTGAGCAGCGAAGCCTCTGAACGTTTCCTCCAGCTGTGCCGACTCACTCTGGATGTCTGTGTTTGACTTGTAGAGCACGTGCTCAGAATTAAATGTCAGACAACCTTTAAACAGTCACATTGATTAGATAACTCAGGGACAATTTAGACAACGCTGACCATCTTTCATGGCTTGTCCTTTGCCTGGCAAGTCAATTAAATGAGCCGTCTCGCCTGGTTTCATCCCCGCTGTGCGCCGACATGTTGCTCTGCTCACGTCTGCGCCTCACAAACTCTTGGAAAAGTGTCGTCTTCAACAACAGATGTCCAGAGGCTCTTTGTTGGTTTTTCCTTTTCATTTTTGGCCTTTTGTCTTTATTAGAAAGTCAGACGGTGACTTGGGGTGTCGTGCTCATACCTTAGACTGGTTTAAAAGACTTTATTAATCACTCTGAAACACAGAAAGCTTTATATATGACTTTATTAATGGTTAATACACAATTTACTCATGATTTATAGATAATCAGAACCACAACAGCTGGGTTGCCAGATAAAGTAAAATCCTCCTTCATCACACTTTTTGTTTCTCTATAACTCATCAGTAAGACCCCTCCAATGGGCTGTTTGACTTATTAACTGCTTCTTAACACTTGCATTTGTGATTCAAACTGCATCTCATACAACTGGCACAGTACAAGAGAATGAAAAAAAAAAAACAGTACGGAGATATTTGTGCATTTGTTTGCTTTTTATAAGTTACATAACTTAAAATTTATGAGGCAGTTTTAAACCAGCTGATAAAAAATACACTAATACATTTTGTACATTTTTTTTGTTATTATTTAGCTTTACTATGAGTTTGGGGCTAATAGTGTTCTCAGTGTTGAAACTACAGTTCCCATAATGCTTTGGAGGACGTGCACAGGAAGTGTAGTGTGTCTGCAGCAAGCGTTGCAGCGTTTCAAATGATCACAGAGCTAAACAACGATTCGTAAAGTGTTCACAGCAGCACAAGCAACACAAAGACTGGAGATTGTCGGCACAGACATGGTTTACTTCTCTCCTGCTCAAATAGACTATTTTAAAAGCCGAATCCCCAATAAAGCTGTTCTCATTCACATATTCTTCTGTTGTCACACAAGGAATGAATATAAAATCCTAATTTTGACACGTTTACACACATTTGGCTGCATTATGCTAAAATTAAAAGCTACTACCAAAGAGATTTGTTCAGATAATAATAAGAAGAAAAGGAATTGCTTCAGCTTGTAGAATAATTCTTGCGTTAAAGTTACGCTAAATATACTCTGGCTAAAGAGGTTTGGTGAACTACTGTTTGACAGCATTTCCCCAGCATATGGACCCTTTTACCTGAGGGAAGCATTTGGACATAACTGAAAAAGCAAGTCTGTGAGGTTTGTCGTGAATGTCAGGAGCATGTTCTGGAGGTTTAAAATTTCTCAATGAAGTCATTTCCAAAGTCAAGAATCAGTTTCAGCGCGTTCAGGATCAGCATGTCACAATCTGGATGCTGGCTGATTTCCTGGCTGTAGTTCTTCACGGGGAGGATGCAGTTGAGCGGAATCCCCAGTTCAGAGCTCAGATCCGTCATCTAAGTTTAAAAGAAGCAACATTTCAGTTGACGTTCAGGATTTTGGGGTCACATTCTGAAGAGATCCAGATGAAACCTACCTTTTTCTTTACAAGTTTGCTCTTGTAGATGTTCTGCAAGTCCTTCTCAGTTTCAGGACAGGCTTCATCAAGCTTGGTGACAACAACCAGTTGGGGAATACCTGCCGTTGTTGAAAAATAAAGTAAAAATCCAGGATTTTTCTCAACTGCTTTGCATAGATCTGCTTCACTGACTAAACCTGCCCACACCAGCCTTTGTCTGCTCTTACCCAGGTCGCTGGCTGCTTCTCTGATCTCCCTCATCTTCTGTAAAACTGAGTCCGAGATTTCTGCTGCGTTTCCAGAACAGACACAAACCAGAACATGGACTTTGTCATCATTAGACGGTGTAGGGTTGTAGCCAGAATCAGAAGAGGACAGCGAGGATGCAGGGTTGAACTGCAAAATGTTGGAAAGATTCAAGTCAATGGCAGCTCATGAACAGAAATGTTCTGTTCTACTCTGGAAAAGACATGCTTCCTACAACAGAAATCACCAAACTGACTCCACTGATACGTACAAGAAGCTATAGAAACAGAAAGAATCGACAGATTTTCAAGTTTTCGACTGTTTATGAATGCATCATGTGTTCCTGTAAAAAAAATCACATCATTCTACATGTGTTGTTTTAAAATTAGAAAAAAAATTAAAAGTCTTTCCGATGAACTTTGGGGGAAAAAAACAAGAAATGCAGACTTTTCATGTCAACATTTGTTTTTCCTGTTTTTCTGATTAATAGCATTATAAATGTGTCGCACTGCACAGAAGTCATTTCGGGGTTTTCTCTCCTTGGAGTCCTGGTTGTGCTGTTTCCATAGAGGTGCAGGACTTTATATTGCAGTGAAAAATGAGCCCACAGTGAGAAAAAATGTGACAGGAGCAAAACACAGGTTCAGAGGTGGTGAAATACAATAAAAACTTCACCACTAGTATCAGTTTTGCATTCAAGATTTGACCAAAAACAGTAAAATATTGAGTACATTTTCAAATTTACCAACCCCCCCTTAAAAAAAAGTTAACAGAAGTTAAAGAGAACAAAGTGAAGAGTGCGTCAGGTGAACCTTGTAACCCTCCATCACGTGTCCCTTCATGGCCAGTTTGATGTCGTCCACTCTGACTCCTCTCCCAGTGCCTTCCTCCAGACCCATGATGTCATTGAAGACAAACGGGTAAAAGCTGCCCCAGGTTTCTTTCCTGATTTTATGAGTTTCATACTGAAAAATAAGGATTGAAAAAAAGTTCCAGTTTTGTGAGATTTCAGGACATTTTAAAGCAGCGAAATCAAAACAACCATCTTAAATAAAACTAATATTTTATACCATGCAGCAGTTTGAATGATCCGTTTTGGTGACATAGAAAACAGTGTTAATTGAAATGTTCTCCTGAGTGATTCTGATTGGCTACAGCTGCAGATCACTCCTCAAAGCTACTTCTAAATATTTGAAATTGAATATTAGACTCAGCCACAAACGCTGCGGTTGGAAAGTCTGAGGAGCTCAGCACAGATCTGGAAAAGCAAATCATGGACTTGAACAAGTCATGAAAGTCACTTAGTGCCATTTCAAAGCAGCCACAGATCCTAAAATCTGTGCAAACAATTATTTCTAAGTATGAAGTTCACAGCTGAGTTGTGTTACTGACTCAATCAGGANTAAACATAGAACAGAAATCCTACCTTTGCTGCTGAGCTGCTGCAGAGAGGAAAGTGAAGGAGTTAAAACAGAGAAGGTACCTAGTAAAAATATCATCACTGTTTCGATTTTGACATTATTTTCAGCATTTTATAAGTTTTTTTTAATGTTATACCACGTTTAATGTTTTTTTCTTGCAGTTTCAGACATAATTGCTGGACAATTCCACAAACAGACACCCAGCAAGATGAAACACAATACTCAGGGGCAGCAGCGACTGCTAAATCAGAAAGTGAAAGTAGAAAGTTGCTTTATGTAAGAGCACCATACTGTGTTTCTACATCATCACTCTGATCCAGCAGCAGCAGCAGCAGCAGCAGCAGCAGCAGCACGGAGACGGTAGAAAACCACACTGACAGATAGTTTTGTTGTTTTTTTGCTCGTCTTGTTCCTCTGTCAACCACACATGTTCAGACAGCTGCAGTATCGATTTTACAGATCTCAGATCAGACAGTTGATTTGGTTCATTCTCAGAGCTACACTGGTTTCCTCTGTGTCAGTCAGCTGCCTCATAAATGCAACTGTCGACTTTTTGAAAAGCAGCATTTAGTTTGTAATTCATCATCTCGAAGTCTTTAGCGATTCTTTTTTTGATCCTGCTTCTTATGTTTTTTCTCCTTCTTGGTCCTCAGATTACAACATGGCATGTTTCTGTGAAGGTAAGCAGCACTAAATACTAATCACTGCCAGTGTCACTAAAACAGTTTAGATGTTGCTTCTTATTTTTTTGTCTTTGTTCCTTCTCTGTCCTCAGATAACAACATGGATAGTTCACCTGAAGGTAAGCGGCAGCCAATAATAGTGTCACTAAAATAGTTAAGTGTTGATTTTGTGCCTGAAATACAACAAAAACTCGACACAGAGTCAGGAGGTTGGATTTAAATGCCTCAGATACCTCAGACTATAAACAGCTCAGCACTTTCCAGCATAATATCAAATATGATCTTCTAGCTGTAGTATGTTTTCAAAGAGATACTCTCCTCTGTTAGTCATTTTATTGTTTTAATTATTCACAGATCTCTGAAAAAAGCCACATTTGAATCTCTATACTGTACAATTACAGACTAATCTCTAAATTTTCATTTTTATCTGAGGTGCTTTGAAAAGTCATTTCAACTCACTTGTGGTTTAAGAACAGGAACAATATTTTTAATAGTTTTCAGTCAGAGTTTAGAGCTTGCCATAGCAGAAACAGCCCTCCTGGCCAACATGGAACTGCCTGTAGTCCGAGCAACCGCCTCCTCAGGTCACTGTAGTACTAAATAATAAGAAGCTCCACCTGGTGGTGCAACCAGGTACTGCAGACCAGACATTTTTTGACATATTAACGGCAATTAATCAATTAACCATTGATAATTAACATCCCTACTATAAATTACATTGAGGATATTTGAACCCTTTTCATCCTGGGGTGCTCCTTCAGGTCGCTAAATGAGGCTCTGCTGGTTATTCCTCAGTCTCGGCTTGTCAATAAGGTTGACTGAGCTTTTGCTGTTACTGCGTCCAAACTGTGAAACGGTCTGAGATCAGATGGGCAACATCGTATCTCGTGTCTTTTAAATTCCTTCCTAAAAGTTCTTTTACTTAAAAGCCAGAATGAATGTTTGACATATGGCTGTATGTTGTTATTCCCTTTTTGTTTTCCTGTTGTTTCATGGCCTTGCTTTATTATTTGTTTATTTTCACTCATGTTCATTGATGTTTTTAGTCTTGTTTAATACTTTGCTTCACCCCACCAGTTACCCCAGATGGCCATGCAGGCTTTGGACAGCTGCCATCAGTCTCACAGGTTAGTTAACTCTCTGCAACATGCTGATAGAAGCAAGGCTGCAACATGTGATATTAAAAAAGAAGACTAAGACAAACACTATATGAAAATATGGTGGAAATAAACTATGTAACATTTACTCAATCGTTATATACCACAAACGTACACTTGAGTATTCTCATGTGATGCTACTTTATTCTTTATTTCTGACATTTCAGGGGGAATATTGTCCTTTTTTCTCCACTATATGGAAGCATTTGTTCACGATGGTTTATAAATGAACTGGCTTCCAAAAACAAGTCACAATGCAGATATGATGAATTTTATGATGCGTAACAAAAATCCTCACAAAAGCTCTACCTGTTGCCTTTGTTTTCACTTTCAGGAGCCGAGCTCACAGGAAATTCTATTTGAACTGCAGAATGGTATGTGCCAACAAGTTATTTCTAATTAAAAGTGACAATAATTTTTTAAGTTTACAATCAATGGAAATTAAGTGGAAATCTGAGAAATAGAACTTGAGGAGTCTTAAGTCGCCTTTAGACTGTGAGAAACAATCCCCAACTGTACCAGACGGGTCCACTAAAGTCTTTCCTTATTTGCCAAAGTTACACAAAGTGTTTTGGCTTTTGGATCTATCATTTTGAGCTGTATTTATGTTTTTTGTCCCCAGAATATTTATTCAGAAATGGCACATGCAACAAGTCACACCAGCCAGTATATTCTGTGTCATTTCACATCACGGTCTGATTTGTGGTTTTGGAGATATTCAGTTCAATTTAATTTTGTTTATATAACGCAATTCACACCATATCCCACAGTGCTTAACATAGTCAGACAAAGACCTTATGAATTTTTAACAGAGATCCCAACAGTCCAAAGTTACCGTTGGATTCCTTCTGAGCAAGCGGTCGGCAACAGTGGGAAGGAACCAAGCTACACAAGCAGAACAGTTACTATTTTGGAGATCAGAGACTTTTTCTGATCCAGAGATGTCCGCAGAGAGAACAAGCACAGGACCTCGGGGGAACCACAGAGTTAGTGACATGTAATGGTGGTTATAACTGTATGGAAGAGAGGAGAGGAGAGGAGCTCAGTGCATCATGGGAATCCCCCGGCAGTGCAAAGCTATAGCAGCATAACAAAGGGACAGTTCAGGTGATCCTGAGCAGCCCTAACTATGAGCTTTATCAAAGAGGAAAGTTTTAAGACTAATCTTAAAAGTAGAGAGGGTGTCTGCCTCCAGAACCCAAACTGGGAGCTGATTCCATAAGACAGGAGCCTGATAACTGAAGGCTCTGCCTCCCATTCTGCTTCTGGAAACTCTGGGAACCACNGAATGAAGGTTCTGGACTGGTCTCCCCAAAGTCCTGACTGAAACCATCAAGAACCTGTGGACTGTGATAAAGAGGAGTCAAAGATACAAGCAGAAGCTTGTGGACAGCTACCAAAGGTGACTAGATGAAGTAAAAATGGCCAAACATTAGCATTTCTACATTTGTGACCCAGCAGATTGAGTCTTATTTCCAGACGACCAAAAAATAAATTCAGAAACCAACAAAAATACATGCAAGACGTGTTTCGATGATTCCATCATAGAAAATTCAGAGTTATCTTTAAGAAACCAAGTACATATAATGTTGAAACCGAAGCTTGTTTTTTTTTAGCCTTTTTTATACAGTATCTGTCATGCCCTCCACCTCTGGCTCCGCCCAGTGGCAGTTCCTCTCCCTCCTTCCCTCCACAGGGTCAGGTGAGTGAGGCACGTGAGCGAGGTACGGACAGGTGCAGCTGATCAGGAATCAACCTGATTCTCTCCAGCTGCAGCGGGGAGTGATCTTTCTGCCAGACTCATTCAGTCTCCCATAAAAGACACCGGCAGACCACTACTCAATGCTGGACTGTTACATACCAGCTGTTAGTTGATCCTGGCTCACTCTGCTCTATTCATGATTTTTTGCTTCGTTCTGCCTGATTAATCATTTGTTTCTGCTCTGTTCAGTTCCGACACTCTCCGCTGCCTGGTTCCACTGGTTTGCCACTCCAATCCCTCATCACTCCAGCTTCACATCCCTCCTGCAAAAAAACCCAATCCCTCTGCATCTGCCCAGAAAAAGTCACCACCAACCCTCGGACCTGCCACGCTGCTTCACCACCCACCATCGTCCTTCCCCATTCCCCCTAGTTTGTCAGTAAGCCTTCAGTCTCTTGTTTAACCTTGTAATCAATATTAGTACTTCAGAATTTTTTATAATTCAGGTTAGTATAGTCTTGTGTATTGTTATAAATTCTGTTAGAGTAGTCAGGTTAGTATAAGTGACTTTGTTGTTAGTGTTCTGTCTGAGTACACCCCTGTACAGGGTCACTGGTCCAGCTCTCCGTTACTAGGGTTAGATTCTATCTGCCTATAGGACTGAGGCCTAATAGGTTCAGCAGAACAGCTGAAGCTGGAGTCGAGGAAACTTGTCTAGCTTTTAACTGCCTCCATCCAAATGCCAACCCCACTGAGTCTGATAGTTAACTCTACTAAATAGCTTTCATAGTCTAGTCACCCTATCAGTCACGTTTGGTAACGGCAGCTTTCCTCTAAAGAGACCTGACTCTTGGTCAATTGCTAGGGTGTAATTTAGAGGTTAGGAAAGAAATCCTCAGAGATGTATTTTAAAATTCTATATTCATCTTGAACCAGAACAACCTTTAAAAACAGGAATGATCATGGTTAACTAATTTAGTTAATAATACAGAACTAAGCTTTTCTAAATATATTTCCTCCACAGTGTAATTTGGAATGGAGAGGGTAGGTAGCTTGGTCTTAGCTGCCCCGCCTGGTCCGGTAGAAGCTCTTAACCTCTTAAGACCCAAGCTCTTGTTTGATATGCAGTTCTTTATTTTTCTTAGCTATTTGGTCTGATCAAATGGCAAAATATAAACAAAAAAATATATAGAAAAAAATCTTAAAAATATGAATTAATAAAAAAATAACTATTATATAATAATAAAAAAAAATACTGTGGTAATAAAACCCAAAATGTGATGTCCATGTGTAGCAGATGTGCTTCGTGTCAGAACAGGCTTGGGTGTTCGCCATGCCTGGTTCAATACTTTTTCTTTTTAGCTACGCAAACTCACTTCCCTTTCTCAACTACGCAGTTAGAATTACTGGTTACAAAGAATCATTTATAATTATTACAACATCTGAATCACTTCGAACTTAAGCAAAATCACTTTATTGCATTATTTTAAAATATATAGTCTCTCTATTTGACTGGCTTCATACCAGGGTCTCTGTTCATGGCTGCTCCTGGGATCTCAATGTTTGACTCCACTTGACATTAGTTACCCTCCTGTCCCCTAGAAGGGACTATAGTTATCTGTACCAAGCATTACCTTTGACCCAAACGTCCTGTTCCCGTAAATACGTTTGTTGTAAAATGAATATCTTACTATATGCTCTGTCTGCCTTGTCTATGTCCACACTTGAACCTCTGAACCAGATCTGTAACAATGTCTTGTCTTGTAGCTCAGTAGGAGCAAATGTAAAGTGATTACCATACAGATATGTGAATGTTAGCATCAAGAAACCTGAAAGTGGGTCAAACCCATCGAGTCAGAGCCAACAGAGGAGAGGTTACATACTTTCTTGGTGAAACTGGTTCCTTCATAGTTAATTGCGCTGACCATAGCTGTGTTCACCATTCTCCCTCGTAGCACAGTGCTGACAGAATTGATGAAGGTGGACTTTCCGTTACCGATTGACCCGTAGAGCAAAACTCGGATTTGTGTCACTACATCTCGTTCAGGTTCGAAATCCTTCACATACTGCAGCTCCTTAGTGTCTCTGTTCAAATGTGCAGGAAATAGGTTTAAGACAACAGTTTGAACATGACTAACAGCTAGCACGTTCACTCTTATATTATTAGCATTTTGCCATTTGCTAATTAGCACTAGATCGATGCTAATTTATTCACAGCTTTATATCAATTTAAATTTGCTAATTAGCACTGGACAAATTTAAATGTTGACTTGTTGACGGTGCTGCATAAAAAAAGTCACAAGGTCACCAAAGTTAAACGTCTGAAGCACTTTTCATCCAATAGTTAGAACAGTTGGTCACAGATTCACCCTCTGAATGCCAAAACTCACCAGACAGTTTGAAAGGTGTGTTATCTTTAAAAAACATGTGTGATGTGCAGCTCATTTGGGAAAATTAAAAAGATCTAAGCAGAAAATTGTGATTTTTCATCTAAGTCAGTTTATTCTACCTGTCTCACTTAAATAAACTTTTTGATTGAACTGCAGGCAGTGTTTACACGGAGAGGTGATAAGTATGGAAACACATCAAAAATACAGTAAAAAGTAAAATATCGTATGTAAAGCCACCATTTTTTTTTCCAATATCCCCCCCCCAATTTTTTGTTACCTACAAAAGAAATTAAAGAATTAAACATAACTTTCTTTTACTCCACAGAAGACGTTTCATTCAATATGTGGACTTATTTATTTTATTTTTTTTTAATAAAGGTGCAGGTATGGGGGAATTATTGGAGCAAAACTAATTGTAAATGTGTGTGGAGAGTTGTGTGTCTGTATCTTAATCTGTGTGTCTGTGAATGTGTAAAAAGATCTTAAATGTGTACAAAGATATTATTGGACGTAAAGTCTAAGTGCTTGGCTTCAAGTGCTGGAAATGCAGACAAATCACCAGTTCCAAGTCAAGCGGGCCTCACAATGGGCTGTTTTTTTACTCATGACCTTTGCTGCACTTCTGTCGTGAGAGATTGGTATGTGTAACTTCAGGGTTTCTGTGTCCTGAGCTCAGACTCACAGATACCNTAATATGGAACAATCAGGTCTTTAAGATACGATGGAGCCTGATCATTAAGACTTTTATATGTTAGAAGCAGGATTTTAAATTGGATCCTTGATTTTACAGGAAGCCAATGGAGAGAAGCTAATACTGGAGAAATATGATCTCTGGTACTGGTTCCTGTCAGAACTCTGGCTGCAGCATTTTGCATCAGCTGGAGGTTTTTGAGAGAGTTATTGGAACATCCTGATAATAAGGAATTACAATAGTCCAGTCTAGAAGTTATAAATGCATGGACTAGTTTCTCAGCATCACTCTGAGACAGGATGCTCCTGATTCTTGCAATATTATGTAGATGAAAAAGGCCGTCTACAGACTTGTCTTATGTCTATTGAGCATCATGTCCTGGTCAAAAATAACTCCAAGGTTCTTTACAGGAGAACTGGAGGCCAATGCAATACCATCTAGAGTAGCTATCTGATTGGATAGTGTGTTTCTGAGGTATTTAGGACCAAATACAATAACCTCAGGTTTTTTGTTTGGGATTTAAATGAAAGAAATTACAGGTCATCCAGGCCTTTATGTCCTTCAGACATGCCTGCAGTCTGACCAACTGATTGGCTACATGTGGCTTCATAGATAAATGTAGCTGTGTGTCATCTGCATAACAGTGGAAACTTACGCTGTACTTCTTAATCCTATTGCCTAAAGGGAGCGTGTACAAAGTGAGAATGATAAATATGTGACACTGGCTAAATTTTGGTCACCAGAGCTCCAAATGAGTAAACTGGTGTCATCAAGGACCGCTGATCACTAAATATTTTACCATGTTTCTCTCACGATTGTTAAATTTCATGTCAGACAGTCAAAAAACACCCAATGTGAAGCTGTCTTAACACACCGTTTGCTCTTTCTTTGTAGCTGCTGAGACTTTGTTGAAGTACTATCCTCACCGACACAAAGACACCAAAATCAAGAAGTTCTACAAGGATTTTAAAAGAGACTTAAAGAAGTCTGGTGCAGGTGTGTTCAACAGGAAAGAGATGCTCACATGACTTCTAGTTCAGGCAATTCAAGCTGCATTCTTGTTGTATGAATTCTTCTGCATGTGTGGACTGTATATCCTTCAGTGTGTACATACTAAATAGTTATGTTGTTTTTGGTTTGTCAGCAAAAAGCCGCAAGGCATCGTCCAGTCATGCAGTAAAGNTTCAGCTGGAGGTGGAGGTGGACATTCAGCTGGAGGTGGAGGTGGACATTCAGCTGGAGGTGGAGGTGGACATTCAGCTGGAGGTGGAGATGGACTTCTAGCTGGAGGTGGAGATGGACTTCTAGCTGGAGGTGGAGATGGACTTCTAGCTGGAGGTTAAAGAGTAAAAACAGATGCAACACTGAGCAAGGAAGGAAAGATGTCAAAAACAGTCATTTTAATTGTGGTTAAAATGCAGAAATACATTTTGTAGAATCCCGTCTGAAATTTGTGCCGTTTTTTAATTTGAAGTGGAATTTAGTGATATTAGACAGATTATTCTGATACAACAGGAGACAGAAACTGCATTAAAAAGAGTGAAGCTGATACAACATGAGAATAAAATCATTAAGTTAAAGCCTGAACTGTGACATGTTGGTGCTTTCATGTTACTTACATGGCGATGATGATTCACCTCCCATGACTAAAAATAAAAGGATAGAAATTCTAAAACAAAAAATGAAAATGTAATGGACTGCATTTCAGTGATGGATTTTGACTTGACTTGACCTGTAAATACATTTTTAAAAGGCCCTTCAAAAGGAAAAAGAAAGTTCATCATAACCTATTAAGTGTTTTTAGTGACACCCATTACAGCTACTGAGAGTCAACATTAATAAAAAAAAGACAAACTGATTGTTTCATCCAAACATGTAGGAAACCAAATTCAGTAATTTCCAAATTCAAACCTGAAGTTTAATATATATATACATTATATTATGCTTAAATATTATAAAACATTTAACTGCCAAACATGAAATACGACAATAATAAAAATGTAGAAATACAGCTGTTTTGCTCTTTTCTAACCTGATGGTAAACATAGAACAGAAATCCTACCTTTGCTGCTGAGCTGCTGCAGAGAGGAAAGTGAAGGAGTTAAAACAGAGAAGGTACCNCTGCAAAAATGTGGTCGGACACCTACCAGAACGTCGTCTTCAATGTCAGTGTTCTCTACCACGAGACTGTGCCAGGATTACTGGAGTGTCCCAAAAACATGGCGGCAATCAGAGAACTACACAACGTGTTAGTACAGTATAGTCGCAGTAGCAGTCACAGTCACAGTCACAGTAAAATCTCCAGTTGTTCTATTAGTTAGTGAGATGGTGGTAATGAGAGAAGTGGTGGTTTAGTACCTTATAGTCACAGTCACAGGAACAATAACAATAAACAAATCCTGGTTCAAACGAAAATGGTGGTAAAAGTTTACTGGCTCCAACAGCAATCAATAACTTGTAACAATTTAAAAAAAAGAAAAAGAAAAAAAAAGCATACACAGAGTGTCAGTGATAACTAAGTTACTTGTTTGTATAATATTTCATGTGTACAAGACACCTAAATTATAATGTGTCAATATGAAACTAAACTTGACATGAAATTAGTTGTATTGATGAGAATGTAATTATGAAATAAAATAATAAAACTTATAATTGTACAACTGCTCTCCTACTGCTTGACATCACTGTCTAGCCGCTGTATGTTTGAACACATGAAGCTGTGGAAGGAAGGATGACAGATGGAGCGATGTATGTACAGTACTGCAAAGGTGAGAATGCTTCTGAAAATAGTGAATTACATTAATCAAGTAATATTTGTAAGCAGTAAGAAAAATACCACTGTAGTTACTTTTAAAAACGATGCTACACCATAAATCAAAATAAAGAAAAGCCTGAAAATGGTGAAACCTGAGATGGTTCGTTGTGTCAACACATTTTACAAAAAACATCCTATTACACAACCCTGTGGTTTTCTGAGCATAACTGTTCATATCTGTTCTATAAATTCGTTTAAAACATGTGTTTATGTTTTTGATCCATCACTGCAGTTTCTCCATAAATTCACTCCTTTACCTGAAATACAATGAGTTTTCTGTATTGGTCCTCAAATTCCTCTTCAGCCATTGTGACTTTCTCTTACTCAAGACACATTTCTGATGCAGTTGGTGATGTAACTTTAAACTATGAATGATTTGAGTTCACTAATGTCAACCAAATCTCTAGAATTTTCATTTATTGTTGTACTGTTCTCAACAACAAAAAAATGTAGTCTTTTCAGTGATAATTGTGATTGCAAAAGTTATTTATTGGAGCACATTGGTGCATTTGTGACCTAAAATCCCTCTGAAAACCTCCATTACATCCCTAAAAACTAATCTCTGTGTATCAAAGAGAGGAAAAAATCTCTAACTTAACAGTGACACAGATGTAATTCTAGATAATTTCTTTCAAATCTTTAAAGTCTCTTTACTTCCCTCCACTCTCTGCAAAACTACTCTGCACCACACAATGGTAAGCTGGATATGTTGAGCAGTTCAGAAATACGTGTTTGAAGCATAAAACTAAGAATAATGACACCTAAAGATCCACCCATTGATTCCTTAAAACCCCATAAATGTGAATGCGTGTTTTGATTGTTTGGGCTTTGACTGCTTATTTCACTCATGATGTGTTCTCTGGCATATACGAAAACACACAATATGGACACGTTGACAAGGTCAAAAGAGTGCTACCACTCTACTCCCTTCTGCTTAAGTGATAAGCCATCCTCGGTCGTATCAAATGTTTTTATTTCAAGACTTGGGATTATCCAAAGTGTGTCTTAATCATTTAATTTACTGCAGGTACTTTATAAACCCAATTAGGTGCCAGAGGTAGAGTTTTGTTAGTTCTCAGTCCATACTGCTGTTCAAATGGTACAATATATTTTCAGATTTTTATTTTGTCTGATTGTGAGGAAGCTCAATTTTGGTCTCATCAGACCAAAGAATCTTCTTCCAGTTGACTTCAGAGTCTCCCACATGAATTCTACTGATCTCTAGTTGAAATCTAATGTGAGCTTCTTTCTCTTTGTCACTCTCCCATAAAGTTGTCGCTGTCTTGATGGCCTCTCTCACTTGTCTACGTCATTCGTTTTTGAAGACAGGCTGCTTCATATTTACGCAAAGGCCGTGAGTGCAATCACTTTTACAGCCACAAGTCAATAACATCAGCAGCTTTTTATCATCTAAAAAACATTGCCAAAATCAAAGGTATAGTGTCCAAGCCAGACTTAGAGAGACTAATCAATGCGTTTGCCTCCAGCAGGTTAGACTACTGTAATGGCTGCTCACTGGCCTCTCTAAACGAGCTGTAAGGTGGCTGCAGTTTATCCAGAACGCTGCTGCTCGAGTCCTGACTAGAACCAGGAAGTACGACCAGATTACTCCAGTGCTCAAGTCTCTGCACTGGCTTCCTGTCGCTCAGAGAACTGACTTTAAAGCAGCTGTGCTTGTGTACAAGTCTCTTCATGGTCTAGCACCAAAGTACATCTCTGACATGTTAGTGCCATATAAACCATCTCGCCTCTGAGAACCTCAGGGAGGGTTTCCTGCTGATGCCCAGAGTCAGGACCAAATATGGTGAGGCTACGTTCCAGTTTTATGCAGCTAAAATCTGGAACTGGATTTCAGAAGATGTGAGACAGGCCTCAACTCTGACAGTGTTCAAATCCAGGCTGAAACAGTTCTACTTAGTTGTGCATATGACATCTGAAGGTATTTTATCTGTACTCTTCTTATATTTTTATGGATTGGTTTTATCTGCCTCTTTGCTTTTAATGTAATTAATTAAGAATTGTGTTTATGTTCTGTGGACTGATTTTAACTGTCTTCTTATACTTTTGTGTGAAGCACTTTGAATTACCTCGGGTACGAATTGTGCTATACAAACAAACCTGCCTTGACACTTGTTGTACCTTTTATATCTTGAATTAGTTGACATCTCTTTGTAGAAATCCGTTCTTCGCTTTGACCTAAAAAAAGTTTTTTTCTCTTTTTTTTTCTCTCTTTTTTTTTTTAGTAAATTCTTGTAAAAAACAGAAACAAAACAAAGCCAAATTAAATTGGAGATGATTCAGTGTTAACACTGAATAGGTATTATCTGTACTTCAGATTCTCATTCATTCATGACAAGAGGTAAAGTTTGAGAAGATGTCTTGCACAGGGGAAGAGACCAGTAGCTGCATATGCTGAGAGTCACTGCAGACGCAATAAGAGGATTGGCTTGAAAACCCATATAGGCAGTGTGCTGAACTAGCTAAGAGCATTGTGGATAAATATCCAGAGTCTTTTGAACGAATGGGCAATGGATATTACACTTTAAGCAAACAACTAAGAACCAGGATAGTTTTTAAACCGAGACAATACACTAGCACGAAAACTTTGAAAACCAAAACGATTGGTTTATGCCTCCAATGAAGACCTACCAAGACCATCAAGAAAGAGTGCCAAAATAGATAGCCATGGCTGTGTCAACTGGTAACATGCAGAGCTACCTGAAGGGGAAAATAGAGTTACGGAAAATAAAGAGAGCTATTGACTATTCATTCCTAGGAAGGACAAAGATAACACTACACAACACACACTGACTTAAAGAGTCACTTCACCTATAAAGCATATTTGTATCAAGCAGGTGCTGTGTGCCTTGAATCTTTGCCAAAAGAAGTTACATTTACAAGTGTAATAGTCATATTTAATCCCAGTGTGATGACACGCCGGATGGAAGGAGGCGGGACATGCTGGTGAAAAATGGAAAAGGTGGTTTTATTACAAACAAGGAGGGAGAGTGTGGGTAGGTTGGTGCAGGAAGTGCAGCGGGAATAAGGTGCAGGTGCTCGAGCTGCAGACGCTGTAGCCAGGTGAAGGAGGGGATCCGAGGGATCAGCGCTGCAGCTCGTGAGGGGAAGGACAGCTGTGCTCGGAGAGGTGCTCTGCTGCGGAGTGGGTGGAACTCGTGACTGGAACCCAGTGGAGGTGAATAGCTGGAGAGATGGAGGGAAACACACAGTTATGGATACGCTCGCACAGAGACGCATAGAAAAACTTGAGACTTCAAAAAGTCCAGTGCACGACAGAGAGCTGGCCTAGATACCCCGTGAGAGGTGTTCAATCTTCTGGCACTGGGAAGCACGAAATGCCAGGCTTTAACCACTGCTTGATCAGAGCCCGCTCAGCCAGCAAACACAAAGCACAGGACACCAAGCACAGCCTTAAGTGGATTTCAAAATAACGGTGTTCTTACCAGGAACACCACACCCAGAATTCATTGGCCTCCATTGATTACTCAATATTTAAACAAAGGAAAGGGAGCTCGTGGGAGAGCGTCTGGTGGCTGAGCCTTGGTGCAGAAATAACATGGGGCCACTGCCCAGAGAGCCCACCACCCACAGTGCATTAGATCAGAGTCAGGTGCTATGCCCACCGGGTGGTAGGCAGGAGTGGGTGTCCTGGCGTACCACTCTCTGGTGGCGTAGACTAGCACTAGGGACATGGAATGTGACCTCACTGGCGGGGAAGGAGCCTGAGCTGGTGTGGGAGGTGGAGTGCTACCGGCTAGATATAGTCAGGCTTACCTCCACGCACAGCAAGGGCTCCGGAACCAAGCTCCTGGAGAGGGGTTGGACTCTCTCCTTTTCTGGAGTTGCCCACGGTGAGAGGTGCAGGGCCAGTGTGGGTATTCTCACAAGCCCCCGGCTGAGTGCTTTTTAGAGAGGGTCGCCTCTCTGCGACTGCGTGTTGCAGAACGGAAAACTCTGACTGTCATTTGTGCTTATGCGCCAAACGGCAGTTCAGAGTATCTGGCCTTCTTAGAGTCTCTGGGCCATGTCCTGGAAGTGCTGCTGCCTGGGGACTCCATAGTTCTCCTGGGGGACTTCAATGCTCTCATGGGCAATGACGGTGAAACCTGGAGGGGCGTGATTGGGAGGAACGGCCCGCCTGATCTGAATCTGAGCAGTGTTTTGTTTTTGTACTTCTGTGCTAGCCACGGATTGGCCATAACAAACACCATGTTCAAACATAAGGTTGCTCATAAGTGTACCTGGTACCAGAGTACCTTAGGCCAAAGGTCGATGATCGACTTCATAGTCGTATTGTCGTGACTTGGCTTGCCTGGTTCAGGCCAGTGATGATCAGGCAGCGTCGTCAAAATATATAAATGAAATAACGATCCTTAGCTACATACTTAAGTTCCCAAAAAAGTTCTACGAGAAGGAAAAAATCTCCAAACAGTCATCAGAGTCTGATGTGAAGTTATGTTTATTCGAAACAGAGGCTGCACGAACAATCATGAGCAAAATCTCGAGACTTAGCTGGCTAACAATGCATTACATGTCCTTGTTGTATACTTGTGAACTTCGTCCAACTTCCCTCCTATCGTGGAAAAACCCCAACCTGGCTACTTTGATACCCATCAGAGATTCCATAGTCAGCATTATTTCCTGCTTAGCACAGTGTAATCTAAAACTCTGCTGCCACGCTGGATTCCTGCTCAATTTACCAGTCCATCTACGTCCCAACCCTCACCTATGGTCACGAGCTTTGGGTCGTGACCAAAAGAACGAGATCGCTGATACAAGCAGCTGAAATGAGCTTCCTCCTCAGGGTGATTGTCCACACTTGAACCAGATCTGTAACACTATCTTGTCTTGTAGCTCAGTAGGAGCAAATGTAAAGTGACCACCATACAGATATGTGAAACACATCAAGTCAGAGCCAACAGAGGAGAAGTTACATACTTTCTTGGTGAAACTGGTTCCTTCGTAGTTCACTGCACTGGCCAAAGCTGTGTTCACCATTCTCCCTCGTAGCACAGTGCTGACAGAATTGATGAGGCTGGACTTTCCATTACCGACTGACCTGCAGAGCAAAACTCGGATTTGTGTGTTATGACCCTGTGTGGGTCATCTGTGGTGTTTTGTGTTTTTGCTGCCTGTTTCTGTCCTCAGTGTGAGTGTGTGTGCATGTGTGTGGTAAACGAATGGATCAGGAGCAGGTGGTGACCCCGGGTTGGCTGTCTCACCTGCTGCCGCGCCGGATTCCAGCCACCCAATTGGTCAGAGGGCGGGCCAATCCACTATTTGAACAGCCCGCCAGCTGTACTCGTCCTCCTCACCTCCAGCCTCACCACCTCGGAGAAAGCCAGCAGACCCTTGCAACTGCACCGCAGGAGGATGCAGCAGTCGTGTGTTTGTTCCAGGATCGTGTGAAACAGATCCCCAGTCCTGTAGTGACTCTTTGTAAACTTGTAGTTAGAGAGCAGAGTAGGAGGGAGAGGCCCTTTTCTTTTGAACCTTTTCTCCTGTTTTTTTGTTATTAGGTAGGTAGGTAAGATTATTGTCTTTTATTTGCTTTTTCTTTTCTGATAGTCAGGGTTCGTGAAGAATAGGTTTTGTTTGTTGTTTTGGCCTGTTTCCCCTCTTCGTTATAAAAATAAAAGAAACTGCTCGTTTTTGTTACCTGACTTGTCGTGATTGCTGGCCTTCTTCGAGGTGGAAAGACTGGTGTGGAGCAAATATCATGCTATGCTCAAGGTTCCCCTAGACCGGGGCATAACATGTGTGACTACATCTCGTTCAGGTTCAAAATCCTTCACGTACTGCAGATCACGGTCAGCGTCTCTGTTCAAATGTGCAGGAAATAGGTTTAAGACAACAGTTTGAACATGACTAACAGCTAGCACGTTCACTCTTATATTATTAGCATTTTACCATTTGCTAATTAGCACTAGATCGATGCTAATTTATTCACAGCTTTATATCAATTTAAGTTTGCTAATTAGCACTGGACAAATTTAAATGTTGACTTGTTGACGGTGCTGCATAAAAAAAGTCACAAGGTCACCAAAGTTAAACGTCTGAAGCACTTTTCATCCAATAGTTAGAACAGTTGGTTACAGATTCACCCTCTGAATGCCAAAACTCACCAGACAGTTTGAAAGGCGTGTTATCTTTAAAAAACATGTGTGATGTGCAGCTCATTTGGGAAAATTAAAAAGATCTAAGCAGAAAATTGTGATATTTCATCTAAGTCAGTTTATTCTACCTGTCTCACTTAAATAAACTTTTCGGTTGAACTGCAGGCAGTGTTTACACGGAGAGGTGATAAGTATGGAAACACATCAAAAATATAGTAAAAAGTAAAATATTGTATGAAGAGCCACCATTTCTTTCCAGTATTTTTTCCCCATTTTTTTTAACTAAATAAGAAATTAAAGAATTAAACATTGTAACTTTATTTTACTCCAGAGAACACGTCATTCATTCTGTGGACTTCTAGCCGTGGCTTTACTGTTTATTTTTATTTATTTTATTTTATTTTTTTATGAAGGTGCAGGTATGGGGGCATTATTGTAGCAAAACTATTTGTAAATGTGTATGAATAGTTGTGTGTCTGTATCTCAATCTGTGTGTCTGCAGTGAGATTTGTCAATGCGTAGAAAGATATTATTGGATGTAAAGTCCAAGTACTTGGCTTCAAGTGCTGGAAATGCAGACAAATCACCAGTTCCAAGTCAAGCGGGCCTCACAATGGGCTGTTTTTTTACACATGACCTTTGCTGCACTTCTGTCGTGAGAGATTGGTATGTGTAACTTCAGGGTTTCTGTGTCCTGAGCTCAGACTCACAGATACCAATCTCTCACGGCAGAAGTGCAGCAGAAGTCATGTGTGAAAAGACAATGGTGAGGCCTGCTTGACTTGTAACTCGCGATTTGTCTGCATTTCCAGCACTTGTAGCCATATATTTAGACTTTTCAGCTATTAATATCTTTGTATGCATCAACAAATGCTTTACAAGTCTCACTACAGACACACAGATTGAGATACAGACACTTTTTGCTACAATAATACCCTCATATGCACATGTACATTCCACTGTAGTTCAAAATAAACCCACATCAGTAGAAAAGGAGGGTCAACTGATAAGAAACCGGTTTTGTCAGTTGCTGGATTCTTTCGTGTCTTTGTGAATCTGTGTCATTCCTCCTTGAAGGGTGAATTGAAACAGATTTAAATTCATCACAGGCTCTCAAACATACAAGAACAACTAGAGCACTTGGTAGAATGTACATTTATTCACCTCCACTCTACACTTCTCCATGGACTTGTAAAAGCTGCCAAGAAAATTGTATTAGAAGGCAATATAACACCAGTTGTTGGTAAAGCAAATTCATCAAAGTTGTGCAAGAATGTGGCAATTTGAGAATCCATCCATCCATCCATCTTCTCCCACTTATCCGGAGTCGGGTTGCGGAGGCAGCAGCCTTAGCAAAGCCGCCCAGACTTCCCGATCCGCACACACCTCCCCCAGCTCTTCCGTGGGGACCCCTAGGCGTTCCCAGGACAGCTGGGAGACATAATCCCTCCAGCGTGTCCTGGGTCTTCCCCGAGGTCTCCTCCCAGTGGGACGCGCCCGGAACACCTCTCCAGGGAGGCGTCCAGGAGGCATCCGGAAAAGATGCCTGAGCCACCTCAACTGGCTCCTTTCGATGTGGGGGAGCAGCGGCTCTACTCCGAGCTCCTCTCGTGTGACTGAGCTCCTCACCCTATCTCTAAGGGAGCGCCCAGCCACCCTGCGGAGGAAACTTATTTCGGCCGCTTGCATCCCTGATCTCGTTCTTTCGGTCATTACCCAGATCTCATGACCGTTGGTGAGAGTAGGAACGTAGATTGACTGGTAAATCGAGAGCTTTGCTCCCTTGCTCAGCTCTCTCTTCACCACGATGGTCCGGTACAGTGACCACAATACTGCAGACTGCATCCGCCCCTCACTCGTGAACAAGAGATACTTGAACTCCTCCACTTGAGGCAAGGATTCTCCACCGACCCGGAGAGGGCAAGCCACCCTTTCCGGTCGAGAACCATGGCCTTCGGATTTGGAGGGACTGATCCTCATCCCGCTCGCCCCACACTCGGCTGTGGTTCCCAAACCGAACCCCTTCCTCCCCCTGGCTGCCCCGAGACATTCTGTCCATAAAAATAATGAACAGAACCGGTGACAAAGGGCAGCCCTGGCGGAGGCCAACGCGCACTGGGAACAGGTCTGACTTATTACCGGCAATGCGAACCATGCTTCAGCTGCGGTCGTACAGGGAACGGATAGCCCTTAACAGAGGGCCCTGGACCCCATTCTCCTGAAGCATCCCCCACAGGACGCCATGAGGGACATGGTCGAATGCCTTCTCCAGATCCACAAAAAACATGTAGACTGGTTGGGCGAACTCCCATGAGCCCTCGAGCACGCGATGGAGGGTATAGAGCTGGTCCAGTGTGCTGCGACTGGGATGAAAACCAGATTGCTCCTCCTGAATCCGAGGTTCGACTATCGGTCTGATCCTCCTCTCCAGTACCCTGCAATAGACCTTACCGGGGAGGCTGAGGAGTGTGATCCCTCTGTAGTTGGAACACACCCTCCGGTCCCCCTTCTTAAACAGAGGGACCACCACCCCGGTCTGCCAATCCAGAGGCACTGTCCCCGACCACCACCTGATGTTGCAGAGACGTGTCAACCAGGACAGTCCCGCAACATCCAGAGACTTAAGGTATTCAGGACGGATCTCATCCACTCCCGGAGCTCTGCCACCGAGGAGCTTTCTAACCACCTCGGTGACTTCCGTCCGGGTGATGGACGAGTCTGCCTCTGAGTCCACAGTCTCTACTTCCTCTTCAGAAGACGTGACGGTGGGCTTGAGGAGACCCTCAAAGTATTACTTCCACCGCCCAACGACCTCCCCAGTCGAGGTCAGGAGGTCCCCACCTGCACTGTAGACAGTGTTGGTGGAGAGCTGCTTTCCCCTCCTGAGGCGCCGGACGGTTTGCCAGAATTTCTTCGAGGCCGACCGATAGTCCTCCTCCATGGCCTCCCCGAACTCCTCCCAGACCCGAGTTTTTGCCTCTACGACCGCACGAGCTGCCGCACGCTTGGCCTGCCGGTACCCGTCAGCTGCCTCAGGAGTCCCACAAGCCAAAAATGACAGGCAAGACTCCTTCTTCAGCTTGACAGCATCCCTTACGTCTGGCTGCCACCACCGGGTTCGGGGATTGCCGCTGCGACAGGCACCAGAGACCTTACGACCACAACTACGAGCGGCCGCAGTGACGATGGAGGAGGAGAACATGGACCACTCAGCCTCCATGTCTCCAGCCTCCCTCGGAATCTGGGAGAAGCTCTCCTGGAGGTGGGAGTTGAAAACCCTGCTGACAGAGGGTTCCGCCAGACGTTCCCAACAGACCCTCACGATACGCTTAGGCCTGCCAGGTCTGACCAGCTTCTTCCCCTGCCAGCGGATCCAACTCACCACCAGGTGGTGATCAGTGGACAGCTCTGCCCCTCTCTTTACCCGAGTGTCCGTGTCCGAAACACGTGGCTGGAGGTCTGATGATACAACTACAAAGTCGATCATCGACCTCTGGCCAAGGGTGTCCTGGTGCCACGTGACCATGTGGACACCCTTGTGCTCGAACATGGTGTTTGTGATGGACAAACTGTGACGAGCACAGAAGTCCAACAACAGAACACCACTCGGGTTCAGATCAGGGAAGCCGTTCCTCCCGATCACCCCTCTCCAAGTCTCACTGTCGTTGCCCACGTGGGCATTGAAGTCCCCCAGTAGAACAAAGGAGTCCCCAGTCGGGGCACTATCTAATACCCCTCCTAGGGTCTCCAAGAAGGCCGGGTACTCTGCACTGCTGTTGGGCCCGTAGGCCGAGACAACAGTGAGAGAACTGTCCCCAACCCGAAGGCGTAGGGACGCGACCCTCTCGTTCACTGGGGTGAACTCCAACACGTGGCGGCTAAGCCGGGGGGGCAATGAGCAAGCCCACTC